ATTTTCTTAAAATTTTTGGTTATTTAAGCTTGCATTAAGTAATGTTAAACTTTCCAGGCCATCAATTTATGGACAGGAACAACAACTGCAACCGGTATATGTGGGCAATTTGAGAAAACAGCAACAGTCGAGAAGCAAGGAATCGTGGTCTCATAGGTATCGGGAGCCGGAAGGAAATTATGGGCGAAGATACGGTATGGAACTTCAGCCGGATATTCTGATGAAATCGGACAGCAAAAGACAACGAAGACGCGGAAGACGACACTCACATCACAGAAGACACAAACATCGGAAACATAAACATCACCATTCAAAAATTGAGTTACACTTACATTTTAATGCTAAAAAATTTCGATCTTAAGCTGATAACACAGAAATTTTGCCATTTATCAATATCAAAACTGAATTGATGATGAATTTCATGATATGTTAGAGGTAATCGTGGCACTCATTTGCGGTCCATTCTGGTAGTCACAAAAAAACCTGAAATGCTAATAGTTAGTATGCATTATTCAACATTATATATTTATAATATACGCATAATTATATATTTATTTAATTAATTTGAAAGCTAGGCCTTTCGGCATTTGCAGAATATATTTAATATTTTTTAGATGATGACAAACGGATATGTGACAGGTTTTGGAGGAATTTTTGTCGTTTTTTTAAACCAAAAGAAAAACACTACCGAAAGCACCGAAAACATCGAAAACGTAAATATTTCCTGTTGATTTTTTAAAGTTACTTGAAATGTAATAATTTTTAGCATTTCAAATATCTCGGTATATTCACAGATCGCCATCACATTCGGGACCAAGCATTGATCGGTGAGGGATATCCAAGCGTGCAAGAAAAACACTCTGCCAGTTCACTTTCACCAGTTTTTGGACCACCGGAAGCAAAGACCTTGCAGGCAGTACCGCATCGTTCAACAGTAACGGAAAACTATGTTGGAGCGGCAGATCAAAGGAAAAAGACAATTGAGGAAAAAGTTGAAGAAAAAGAAAAATCAAATGAAAAAGTTAATGAAAAATCAAGTATGATGCACAGTTTTAAAAATAACAAACTAAATTTTCTGAAATAATTTTAAGATTCAAAAAAATGAGAAAAATAGAACCAAGAGGAAATTATATAAACCAAAAAATCTTTATAGCTATGTAACATTCATAAAATTTTAGCTATTAGTAATAATATTAGTTCGGATTTGTTTCAGTAATTGGGGCTTTAACATTGTTGGAAAATTTGAAAATGTCAAAATTTTAAGCATTTAAAAAACTATTTATGAAAACTAAAAAATTTTTGGAAAAAAGTGCTTATAATAAAAAAAAATAGTACTTCCAAGTAGTTTTATGAGCTATAAAATTTTTCATCAGTTCAGTTTTTCAAATATTTGCTGAAAAAAGAATTTGATAATAAAGTGTTAAAATAGCAATTTAATAAAATGTACTAAGAATTTTAGTGTTAATTTCGATACAAACATCTCAACAAATATTCTTTGAAAATCTTTACCAAAATAACATTCCTCCAATTTTAATTTTCATAAAAATTTTATCACACTTTTAGCTTTGGTGGAGCGAATTCAACAAAAAGCGTCGGAAACTGTACGGTTTATAATGTTGCTTTGTCTTCATTCCTAATGTTTAATTCTTTGTCGGAATCATCCAACAATTTTTTTGTTGCAAAAACAAGTTCTCATAAATCATACCTGATAAATTTCTTTTCTCTTTGTATTATTTCAATTTTTTTTAAAATTTATTTTCAAAAAAAAATTTGAACAAAATTTAAAAATACAATAATAGCTAACAAATGAGTTAAAAAAATATAATGATGAATTAAAAGGGTTCAGAATAAAGAATTTTCTTTTAAATTTTGATTAATTATTAGTAATTCTGAAATAACAACTGTTCCATTGTCTGTAATTGCACTGTTCATTTATCTTTGAAAAACCGCTAACCAATAGTTTTAAAATACGTTTTATGACTTCAAATTTCTCAAATGTTAGGATTTAAAATTGAATTCGTTGTCATTTTTTTGTTTTCCTTCCGAATTTGTGAAAAGTATTTGAAAATAAGCTTAGGAAATGCAAAATATTAACATTATGAGTGAAGTGAAATGGAATTTCGTGCGACTAATTCATTTATTGATTAATTTTGAAATATGAATTCATGATTTAAGATATCAAGAACAAAATTAGTCGAAGAATTGTCTCCGGTTAAATGTGAATTGATTGATGAAGATGGTCAGTGTGAACTTCACGTTTTCCATTTTTAAGCAACAATATTTTTTATATTTGTCCCACAACTTCCACATTCTTTCCATTCGGAATATTTTTAGTAATAACGAAATTTTTGCATTTCATGAGATCATTAATAATTTCAGTGTAAGTTAATTTGAAGAAATTTCTTATTTTTCCACTTCTTTTTAATGGACAGATATAATCTTGCATCATAAAAATTCATTTTATATTATAGAAATGCGACAAAAACGAAAAATAATTCAGTTCATTGAGCAAATTGCCAAATTTGGATTAGAAGGGATGAAAGATGAATTTGTGCAATGTCGAACTTTCATCCCAAATGCTATTACTCGAAGTGCGCATGATCAAAACTTGAAAAGATGCCGCCATCCAGGTGTAATTTTAATACCTTTTTGCTAATCAAAACATAGCAGGAAATAGGACACTGATTCGTATTTGGATAAAGTTGAGTTTTTAATTCTTATTTTTTGCCGAAAATTTCAATTTCAATCTAAAGCATTCCTAAATGAAGGAATTTTATTTCATGTGATATTGTTTACATGCGCATTAAAATCAGAAAATAGTAAATTTTAATTTTTATTAGATGTAATATGCATTGATCAAACACGTGTTGTGCTTAAAAGTGATGACGATGGTTCGGACTTTATACACGCAAGTCGAGTTCCACTTGGAGATAATCCCAATGAGGTTTCATCAGTGACCTTACTTCTGAGAGATATGTTACTTTTTATACTTTATATCCAATATTTATCAAAGTTCCTATCCAAAATTTTCAATTTTTTAGATTATTATCACGCAATTGCCATTATCGAATACGGTGAAACATTTCTGGGAAATGATTTGGCAGGAAAATGTTCAAACAATATTATTATTTCTAACGTTAAATGAATGGAAGGAGCATGCCGATAATATTCAGCTCATTCCTCGAAAAGGGTTTATTTTTAGTGATTAAATCAAAAATTATTTAATTTAAAATTTTGATAAAATAATTCCGTATTGTCTTTCAATTATCACTTAATGTAAACCTTTCGGTTTTAAATTTGAATTTTAAATGTTGCATTTGTTTGAACTTTGAAACATTATAGAAAATGTTTGCACATTGAAGAGTTTATGATGTTGACATATAAAAATGAAATTAATATCACACCTGATTGGTTGGTGGGTGAGTACTATCTATCAAAGAACGATGAATCACGTCGAATTTTATGGCATCATTACAGTGCATGGGAACCAAATCGATCACCAAAAAATTCCGAACACTTTTGGCCTTTACATTCATCTTTAAAGTATAACTAAAGCATTTAACACTTCACTAATTTTTCAAATTTCCGATGAAATATGAATGCTACGATATGTTTCTCGAACTGTTCGATTCCAATTATATCCGTTCATTAAATTGATTTTTTACCATATTCTAATCTACAAAGACCCAAAATATTATCATTGATTACTCAACCAAATAGTTATAGTTGACATTTCAGATTCAATGAATATTTGAATTGCAAAATCAATAATTTGTTATTTATAACCGATTCTCAATTGTATAATCATTGGAAGAATTTAGTTATCTATCCTAATTAAAATACGATTAGATTTTCCTTTTTTTTCTTTAAATTTAGAAAGATGCGTCGTCCATATGTATGCATGAGCCTTGCTGGAGCTGGGAGAGCTGGATGTTATGCTGCTTTAGAAGTACAATTCAGTAGAATTAAATTTTCTATATTTTTTTTACAATTGAAAAGAACAAATATCATCTAAATTTTGAAATGATCAAATACGATAACGTTAACATAAGAAAATGTTTAATTAATGAAAAATTTGAAGAAAAATTTCAAATTAGCTTCAAATTTTTCATTACTACGTTTAATGTTATTTGCATCAAAGTTTATGCAAAATTTTATAAAATAAATTTAACATTTTCAGTGGGCGCATTTAATGCTGCACGACAAGAAAGTTTCAACGATAAACGTTGTTGAGTGCGTGCAGAAAGTTCGTACATATCGAATGCATGCTGTACAAACAATTGCACAATTTCAATTTCTCTATATGGGCATTCAACGCCACATTCTTCTTGTTGAGGTTAGTTAAATTTGCAAATTGTATGGTAAATCGCTGTTTAATTTTTAGCTATTAAATTATTTTGAAAAGATTTCATTAAATTCTCTTCTAAAATTTAAAAAGTTATCATAATGAAAATGATTGATGTAATAGCGCTATCATCAGAGCCTCGCAGCCTACTCTCTCTGAACTACCATTCTATGCTTTGACAATATAATTTTAGCTGTTAAGTTAAGCTATTTCAATTATAACTAAATTTCTTTATCAGATAGATGATTATTGAAATATGACAATTTAATTAAAAACATTTCAGAAATTTCGAAAAGAAATTTTATCTGAGCAGGCAATATTTGAAGCAACGAACAAATGTTCTTCAATTGAATATAATTATTTCCGATCCGGCGGTTATCCAACAAATGATGACTTTGATCTATAATATGAACTTCAAATTTACAAAAATTGTGCAATATGTATGCGCTTGAAAAATCTGTTTTGCATATATTAATGGCAGTAAGCGCATATATCAGTCAATGGTCATTTATTTCCATACAATTATCATTTCATATTTAAAATGGAAATAATAAGTAACCAATGATATCATATGGAAGTTAACTTTTTTTGAAGTTTGTCTCCAAACGAAAAAAACTTACCATAAATTTGCTTGTTTACAAATTCTTACACAATTTTGTAGTTCATGGGAAAATCATTTCCACCGTTCTTTTTTAGCTCATTTAAATGAGTGTTAAAAAGAAAGTAAAAATAGGCTAACTATTATCTTCACCGGCAATTTCTGATTTATATGCTTCCGGATTTCATTCACTTCATCGTACATTCTTACCTTTGCAAATTTGTTATTCAAAATTCACGCATAATTTACAGATGAAGCATTGTTATTATTAGCATTAAATTAAAGAGTATTAGCATACAAATATAGCCTTACTGGTTTCAGAAGGATTGTTAGAATACAAAAAGTTTTTTTTATAGAAAAGCAAAAATTTTAATTTGAAGCGTGTGACTGATATAGTTTTGATAGTATCCATCAGTGAAAGGTCAGATTATTGCATTAAACAATTCTTTATAAATTTAATATTTATCTCGAATTATCTTTCTCTTTTATTCAAATTATTATATGCTTGGAAAAATATTTTCAGGGAAAATATCTTTTACTCCTAAAATATATTTTCAAAAGTGCAATGGTTATATTTATGTATTTCATGAATCATCTGTAAAGTGCCACTTTTTATTGATTGATATATGAATCTGGAAACTATTTTTTTACATGCTTTAGTTAATGCAAAAATTTTAGCATTCTCAATGAACTAATAATAGTTATCAGTACTTTTCCTCTTTACGCTTTTGCCTGAGATTTCTCAAGGCAAATAATTCATTCTAACGCGAAGTGTCGCGTACGCGATCTTTTTGATTTTTCCTAAATTCATTCAAGAATGCATCTTTTCATCTCAGCTTTAGCAATTTAACAATATTATTATGGGTTGCTCAGGTTAATAACACCTTTCTAATTATACATCTGTATCATATTATCACTGTTGTAACAATTTCCATATTATTATAATGCTATTTCAGAGTATTCCGATGTTACTGGAATGTTTGTGCTATCAATTCCGCATAGCGCTTAGATAAGTATTAGACTCAAAAATAATCGCAGCTAATCAAATAATAAGTTAATGCATCAACAGAATATGATAAAGCTATTTTGCAAACTATCAACTGAACTTATTGACCTAATAGATCAATAGAACTGTCAATAGCTCAATATGATACAAAACATAGATCATCAAGCGATATGGGAACACCGTAGCAGACTGTTTTGTTCGAATAAAGAATGGAGCATCATAAGCAAACAAAATTATAATAATTGAACACAAAAATAGATGAGAAGGCGAAAGTTCATTAAAATTGCTTTCCTGGTAGAATGTATCGTTCAAAAGTTTTCTGTGAGATTATTTAGTCATAACTTAACTGCTCATGGAAAATGGAACTTACAAAAGAAGGAGTTCCCTCTTCTTCAATCAATATTTTCATTTATTTTTACTATTGAAGTATATTTTAGCCGTGATTAAAAGTGGAACTTTAAGCGTTTAGATTTTGGATATTAATTTTAAGAAAATGAGAACAATAAAGTTTAGTTTATTACCCTGAAATAACCACAAATTCGATTAAATCATAACTTAAAATATTTTATATCACTTTACAGTTTGAAATTTAGTTAATTAACTTGAAATTATACCATATTATTACTGATGATTGATCTTCCAGGGTATATAAAAGTTGCATAATTTCACTAGCTTAATCTAATTCTACATTACTCAGATCGATATCACCAATTATGTAACTGCTAAAGTATACCGGTTTTGTCCCAAATGACCTCTAAGCGTTTGGTATGGTTGATTGATTTTTGAAATAAATGAAAATGAAATGATTAACATATCAAAACAGTCATGTAGATATCAACATTCATTGCTACAACAATTGCTTTCTCTTTGTAATAAACTGTCCCCATCCCAATTTAAAAGCATTCTACCATTTTTTTTTAATTTTATGCTTTCTCATTTTGGCAAGAACCGATGATGATATCATACATTATGTATGTACCCATTAGCTAGCAAATTTATTCAAGCAAAAATGCTTACAATGCTATTTGTTTAGCTTCAGCAAGTTTGTTCTAATGCCTTTTGATAAAAGGCCGATGATTATAAACAACAATCTCTCCACTCTCTTTGCTTTCCTTTCCAGGCACTGTCATTGCAGCCTTCTAAAAATTTATTGTTTTTTTTTTCTTTTAATAATTCTATTATAAAAGATAAAAATAATATCGGACAATTTTGAATTGTTCCATATCAGTTTTATTCTGCCGATACAAATATTATCATGCATTCTCAAAATATCAAAATTTTTAGTTGCTCTGTGTGATTTTAGAAATTTTTAAATTTCATTTTTTTTTATTGTGTAATTTTTTTTTCTTATTGTGTAATTTGATTGAAACATTTTGCAACATATTATCACACGTGCTTGGAATATCGTTAACACAATATCAGTGATAAATATTTCGCATCTTTGAAACGATGACTATTTCAATAGGAAAGGACGAAGAAATGAATTACAAAAAGGTCAACAATCTAATTTGACGAATTTCTATTTTGAGGTCAGCAAAATCAGTTTGTCTATTTTATTTGTCTTTTTTTTTTAGAAACTTATAATTGGGGTCTTTTAACTTCATCACAAATGCTGATAATGATAATGATATATGTGTGTAGGTATACCGGTTTCATTTCAGATCTCTTTTTTCTTTCTGCCTCTCTCCCTCCCTCTCTCTCTCTCATTTTTTATTTCTTCGTATGAACCTCTCCCTCTACCACTGCTGATTTACAAATATACCTTCTCTATCATTCGGCAGGTTGTTTATTGCAATAACAAGTTTTTTTTTGCTTTCCAAAATTCATTCAATATATTTTCAGTTGTTGGAAACCTCTTCAATAACATTACAATTTCTTTAGGCCCTATCTCTCTTCCTCTTCTTGTCTCAACAGTTTTCATTTCTACCTAATCATCCATCTGTTTGATAGTTTTAGTTGATGAACGGATTATTTAAGAACAACTGTCTTCACGGATATATTATTCATTCAGGTTCTATCAACTGCTCTGTGACTGAACGTCTGGTTTTAAATAGCAGGACCGACGATCATCTTCACAATTGGCTTTTACTTCTTGCAAAATCAATATTCCAAATCTGGATTTAAATTTCCGCGAACACGTTTCATTAAAAAAGTATACAATAGGAGAATAACGACAACATGAATGCAGACGGCAACGCAATTCAGGTTTGTTATTCTTTTTTACAATTGTTGAATCATTTAGATTGCAGCAGATTCTGGAGATTTTTAACTAGTAGTTAACTAAATTTGGAAAAGTTCAAATTTCTACTTAAGTGGTTGGAAAATTTTCGAATCATATGTATCAATTTTTTGACTCATTTAAAACTTTAAAATATGATAAATGAAAAATCTCGAAAATGAAAGATCCCGATAAAAAAGTGTGGAGAGTCATTTTTCTCCCATATTTGATTTAGTAATTTTCCGTATTTAAATTGATGTTTGACTATTTGTTGCAATGGAGCTGTACAAAGGGATTTTAATGAAGCGATCGGAAATTTCTGTATTGGAACCGTTTGATTCTACGGTATTAGACAGAGAGATATTGGCAGTTTTCATTATTAAAAAAATTAGAAAGAGACGAAGGTCATATGCTGAAGCAAAGTGATAACACATTATTAACTTTTATACCATCGTTAATTAACAGTAATTAAGTTGATTTAAGTGGTACAATTACTAAAATATTCTTTCCATACTGCTGTATTTTCAAGAAATACCTGCCGTCTTTTTACTTAAAATTTTTTCCTAATATTTTTTTATTCATTGGCATTTCCATCTTATTTTTTTTATTGTTCAACAAGACATCCGAAATTTCCATATTCATTAGATGTTGTCGCAGTTGTTTTCATGGATAAACTAAAAAGAATCGTTTGAAAATGATGAATGCCGTCTAAGAAAGGCATTTCCCAATATGAGGACTGATGTATAGCTGATAAGTCTGACTTGAGAAGAAAGAATTTAAAACTGCCGTGAAGTAATTAATTAGTTCTTTGCCTACTTCATACGTCATCAAATTAAACAATTGCATTGTGTAATGTTATTATCCAACAGGAGAAGTGAAGATAGGGTGATTTCAAGTTTTTATTTAATGATATCTTCAAGAAGTAAATTGTTTGGAATAGTTAACAAATAATGAAAATGAAAATAAAAGATAATCTTATGAAGGAGTAAAAGAAGTAAAATAATACGGTTTAGGGATAATGTACTGATAAAAAAAAAGAAAAAAAAACAGCATCACTTCTGATGTACAATATTTTAAGAGAGATAAAAAGGTGAGAATAAATCTGAAACGATAATAAATATTTTCATTACTATAACCTCTCTTAATGCTTAATGCTTAACACTCATTTAATATTTAATTAGATCTTTCGGTGGAAAAAAGAAGGAAAAAATATACAAGTGATAATTTCAATATCCATCCCTGATAGAAAGTGGAAACAATCAGTGAACGGAAGCAAATAAAGGCGAGAGATATCAAATGGTCTATGTGTGTGTGTGTGTGTGTCTGTGTGTGTGT